ACATAATCCAAAGCAACTAATTGAATACAATCTGATACACGAAATTACACTTATAGTCTAAGTATCAATCATGCCTACCTAGTTCCCCAAAAATGACTGTGTGAAAAATTTCTAAACAGCTCAATAATTAGATTTAGATTTAGAGGTTAGTAGTAGAATAAGGAATACGCGTTTCTTACAAAATGTGACTTGTTAATTGGATATGCTTGGTTCTTAAATGCCCGCCTCCGATCACATAGTTGAAAGTTGAGTATAAACTATTAAAATCCCTAGAACAATGCGTTTTACATATTGTTCTACAAGATCTCCCCTTACACTGATTTCTGTTACAGTATATAACAATATAATCATAAGTGAAGTAATTGTTAGTACAGTAACTCAACTTACTCCTGTGTACAAATCAACACTGTTTGGATCAAAACTAGAAGCCTGGGAAAAAAAATTGAAAATACAGTAAATTTGTAAACTACTGTAGATTATGGTGTAACTCGAACGCATGCCAAAATCAAAAAATCAACATCAACATTAATAACGTTAATACATAACTACACATACCGTCTCTGCCAAAAATCATTACTTGACATGAAACTGATTAGAAAACTACGAACGACAAGAGTTTAGTGAAAGACAATTACATGTTATCGACTAATATATTCAAAATCGGTTAAACAAGAGTCGCACACCGTGGGGCTCAATCACCGCCTACCTCAACGTGTGATGTTTGCCTATCCGAGAGTAGGATGGAAAAAGGTTGGGGGAGATCAATCCAAAACGTCGCACCAGTCCGTGAAGTGAATGACTGTTGAAATCAGCCATGTCAACAGATGCATACATCCTGGTTAGAGTTCGCCCAATTATTGTTATCAATGGCTAGAGACGTTGGATGATACGGTCAAAATTCGCCGCAGTGGCATAGAAGCATTCACTCACGATCTTTCCTTCAATACAAAGTTCCACAATTATCTTTTTCATTCTGTAAACTCATTCCTCCTCAAATTATATCGTTTATGTTTAATCCTTTATACTACCACTGATACTATAACTATTTATACTACTCTGGTGTTTCTCATGGTAGTTTCATTTCGATGTTCTAATATGATGTTACAATTTGAACCGATACACGTACGTGCTAGGTTCTACATTGAATATGAGTAACTGAGTAAATTGCGAGGTCGTAGATTATATATAAAGATTTGAAGTAATACAACTTAGAATCAAATTTAATAGCGTAAATTCGTTACCTTTATCTAAATTTTGAGCGAAGTATTACCCAATTTATCTTAGCATTTGATTTTATTAAGTTATTTTGAAAACTAATTTTGAAGCTCACCTTTCTATTACCGTAGATATTACTTTTTTCCTATGTTTTTCATCCCTTAATTTTTCTGTCTCAGAGTAGTGAAGCAACATAGATCGACAAACATTTATGTTCTGTTGAAGATTGTTTACCTTTGACTGATTGATGTGATTGGACAATAAACAACTATTCATAAACCACAGGTCACTATTAACATTCTTACGGGGGGGGGGAGTTTTTGAATTTTGTTTTAAAGCCTGTTGTATCGTTAAACGCATATCAGAATACAGAGCTCAAGAATTCAGTTTACTGATGTACGCAAATGACACTAATATTGATAACAAAAAAGGCAGACTTATAAAAAAATTACACTAAATCGACAATAAAATATGAGTGTTTAATATCATATGTATTTGAGTTCGGGATGTTAGATAGACGATTTAATACAATGTTAAATACGAAAGCTCAATATAGAAGTTAGACAAAATTAATCTTTATTGTTTGCATAGTATAATTTTTATGGAGATTATTAAATTCTCTCAGTTTGCATCACGGATAGATCTTAGTTAAACGATTAAAAATCAAGAAGCATTTGAAAACTGTTTCGTCCTAGTATGGGATTCCTCAGCAGTGGATATCCACAGCCTAGTAGTCAAGAATTGAATCCATAACCTTCATTCTCACTAATGAACACTTAAACTCTAAACCACTGAGCTGGAATATAATTTATACAACTCTAAGCCCAATCGATTCGCAATATTGTGTGACCACAATCCATTGCCTGATGTGGATAACTGTTTTGCACTGGAGATGGTCGAACCATACTAGCGACGGCTCTTCTTATGAATACGATCCTCCTCCATACCAGTACACTCTAAATATCTGTAACTTACTGTAAAACATATTCTGATACCAGAAATGCGCAAGTTTCGCCTTTATTTCAAATAAACTTTTGGCAACCTGATCAAACCTAAGGCTCACTAATCTCATCAACTGCACAAATATCAAAATGAATGTTAATATTTTAGAGTTGCTTCGAGTGACTGGTTAACCGGATATACCAGCTTACAATATATCACGAAGTTAGTTAATGCGAAATGTATGCGGAACTACACAGTGATTAGAACATCATTTTATTGTCTGCCGTCTGGAGAAACGAGAGTCAGTCACAATGCTATTCATCCATCAAATATATTATACGGCAAAAAGCAACTTTATGTGAGTAAAACTGGTTAAACATGTTTGCGAATAAAGAAAAATGATAGCTTGTTACCACTGAAGACTATATCTATTTACATGTTAAGTATACATACAACCGGGGTTTACTATAATATTGGACAGCTTGTACTAAAAATCCTTAATTGTGATCAAATAAACAGTGCCACATACAGCGATTATTACTATTATTATCTCAAAAAGAAAAGCGCTTATTTATTATCACAATTATATTAAAATCTATTCTCGTCATATGAATACTTAATCGAGTGAAATCTGAAGACTTCTTAACAAACACATACGAACACAGCGTTGAGGGGTTATACATTAGCACATCAAACAATATAAACCAGACGATTAGAAAAAACAGTGAAACAATTAGCATACAAAGTTGTTTTTATAGTTAGTTTAAACTGAATGTATGTCAAAGTGGAAAAACGCAAAATATACACATATCGATTACTAATTACAATCACGGCTAATGATCAACTTGATAAAATATCGAACGACTCAATAAAGTGGAAATACGAAACTTTTAATAGATTTTAGGGCAGTTCACTAAATGTTTGCTAATATCGAATACTGTTTCTACTCAATAAGTTTTAATACACCCTGTAAGTAATAATATATTACTTAAGCTTCTAAAAATTAACAATATTTCCTTCTGATCCTTTATTTGGATTTGCACTTCCTATCATATTCACAGAATTCTATGTATTTCACTACAAATAAGATGTAACTTATAGTCAAGTGTAGCACAAAACCTTACGTTTTGATGACTAGATTTACACGTCCTGAAAATATTTCACAGTACTGAGTTCTAATTAAAAATCCGAAGCTTTATTGTTGTATATTTAATTTGGCTTAGAACTTGAATACGCAAATAACTTTGACAATCCCGGTAACGAGACGTATAGAGATCACAAACAAACAAGACAAATTAAACGAAACAGAATATCAAAATCCTTTATTTCCTTCGTTTAAGGTGAACTCAATTATGTTTGTAAACTATCACTTTCATGATGACAAACTCTGTAAGAGGTTATTAAAAATCAGACATGCACCAGATGACCTTTAAGGACCCGGACGAAAGTGGTGAGACGCCTGGATTTCAATCTAAAAGCGTAACTACTGGTGCTGCAATGATAAACCAATATACCAACAAAGATTTGGACGATGCAATTGAACTTAAAACAGGAATTCGTCAGATCATTATTTACAATAGTTGGACTGCCTGAGATTAAAATTCTTAAATTCTATGGAACACTTCTCAAATTTCGAACGTTCATGAAACGATTTAAGGTTAATATCGCAGACGGGGATGGTAACGACGCTCAATGACTTATGCACCTATTATACTACTATAAAGAACTTGCTAATTAAGCAACAGAGCATTATGTTTTTGTTGGGATATTCAGGGAAATGTCTCAAAAATTATTCTGTTAGGTCTAACGCTATCCTTGGACTTGAAATGGTGTTATTTTCTTACTGGTCAATATTTATTTCACGTGTCGTTTTCCTACTGGTCAATACTATACAATGTTGTTTTCTATTTTATGGTACAATGCAGTCTGCCTGATTGGTATATAAACAGAGTATGTTTGAAATACAATGATTCATATCTCAGAGGCTGAGACTTGCGTTCTGGACTCAACTGGCTGGGCTAAACAGGGAAATGGGACCAATCAGAACTCTAGGCCGTCCTTACGTGTTTACGCGTCTTTGGTCCGATCGATAAATTCGCCCGCTACCCTCTAATCAGCAGCATCTCACGTTATAACAGTTTTATTGCCAGAAAATGAGTACATCAAAGTCATGAATACTTGCATAACCAGTTTGACAGGCCGTATGATACTCTAAAGGTATTTCTTGCTGAGCTGTTAATCTATCCATCATTAGAGAAGGACAACGTAACAGAATTAAAGAGCTTAATATGACAAGTGACTAACCGTAAGATAACTTTGTCGTAAATCAAACGAGATGCGAAATACTAACTATGGATAAATAAGTCCGTGGTAGTATTGCATGCTAAAGTACAATCTTAGATCGCGAAAATAACATGTTTACACAATAAATAAATTAACATATTCCTAATATCCCAATGAGTAGAAAAATTAAATTTTCTGATGTTTCATGACTCAATGTAAGCCACTTCTTCAGAGAATAAATTATTATTATAAATGATATTATAAATATATTAATTTATTTATAACAACCTACACAATGTTCAATTTATTCGAAATCATCAAGTCAAACCTTGGTAATGATACCTAAGTTTACTCAATTCCTCCTATCTCAGCATTTAGCATGAAATTTCGTTATGTTTATTAAAGAAATAATCAATCAATATCTCACAAGAAACATTATTATTATTATTTTCAGAATTTAATATCTATTGAAGTACTTAAAATTTCTAAACAATTCATAATCAACCTATTCATGATAAAGTATTAAAGGTTAACAATTATCTATGTCGGTAGGAAGAAAACAGTTACTAATTAACTGAACAATAAATATAATTCATCTACTTTAAATCATCATTAATTGATTACTTCGCCTATATTAAAAGATAACAGAATAACATATAGGCCATACAAACAAAAAAGCAATATACATAGAAAATTCTTGTACTAACTAAAATTAACTGAGAAAATTATCAATATTAAAATTCATCATAAATGAATAACTTTATTGACTGATAATTTCTGATTACTTTGCTTAATGACGCAACACCTATTCTATTTAGTACTTGTTAAACTTTCGATAACTTTAATTACTCTCAAATAACACCTTTCCGTCTATGAATTTATAGACAATACTTGAAATCTGTTGATAATGTTTGTGACTACTTTGTTAAATTACGCAACATCACTCCATTTCTGTTGACTTTTACAATCGATATTTGAATGAATTTTAACACCCTTCTATTTCACAGGTTGAAATCATGAGTCAGTTGAAGCTAGACCACCATTGAAAACCTGGAATACTGAATACAAAAAATTACCTATAAATAGATCGTACAACGTAAGGAAATGGTATTGAAAACATTTTTCCTTGATGAGACGCCTTCATTCTTTGCAGTCTGCACCATTCAACATATGATTTGTTAAGTTAACCAAGATAATTAAGTGAAATGACACAAAGGTATCACCATCTACTGTGTGATTTAGTACATTTTTCATTAACTGATGATATTAAATGTAAGCTGACAAAGAAATTAACATCACATTATCGATGAAAAATTGACCAAATATAGACAAATATCAACGGGTGTTAGATTTAAAAAGTAGGATACAACGCGGTTAACAAGTTATGATACATTTACACATAAACTGATTATGAAATGCAAGGCCATTACAGAGGGTTTAAACAATAGCATTAGATATAAACTATAGAAGTAATATGTCGTTGAAAAAATCAGTAACGAATATTATATGTGAAAATTATATTTGAAACAATCACAGCGATTGAAATTTAAATTTTTTTGATCTTGATTTCGATTAGTACCCTGAAGAAGTCCAGACAGGCTTGCTGAACAAAACGTTTGAATTGTTTAGATTTCAATCGCTGAGATTATTCCCAACATAATCTTCACATACAATGACTTTGCCATAATCGGCGCCCAAATTTTGTCAAACTATTCGTCCTAATATTGACGAATATTTGTATAAATCAGTAACAAATAGTTAGACGATTGCCAACAACTGGCAAAAAATGATGTTGACTAACTAGGAAGACTAATTTCATACACATAGTTCCCTTTATTATCTTAAAGAGAGCAAGAACAAAGATTGGTGCAGCATTATATGATTTCATTAGGTTCTCATCAGCTGCTTACAACCTAAAATATTTGAAAATCAACGTTATTACATATATTGACATACTTATACATAAGAGGGTAACTAAAGATGAATATATGTATCATGATGTAGTGAAGATTTCAATAGAGTTAATAAGGTTATAAAAAATTTTGTTTCGGATAAATAAAGTTTGAGGGAAAGTTCCAGAACACTGAACTAGTGATTAGAACTCATGGAGTTAACAAACATTAGATGACTGAGTAATGAAGCAAATGAAAATAGATTAATGGTAATAAAGAAAGATATGAATTGCTATCAGTCAGTTATGAATTGAAGAAAACTGATAATGATGTAATTTAAACTTCAGAGAGTTGAAATAATGAATGACGTGATAAATAAAAAGGAGGGTTTAATATTACCAGGGCAAAGAAAGATTTATTACTGCCTCTTTTTGGATACATAGATCTGCTTCTAGAAGTTTGATTGTTATCGCTTCGGCAAATTTCAAAAAGCCGGGGCTTGATTGTTTGTTAATCACCTTGAAGGACTTCAGGGTATCGACTTCGTGTCCTGTGTCAAGGAGATGTCTTGCGATGGCACTGTTGAATGCTTCTAATCCATTTGATCATAAACTTTTCGGAATATGTTCTTTGAATCGGGCGTAGGCTTTCTTTTCTGTTCTACCAATGTAACTGCTTTGGCAGATACTTGTAAATTTGTATACATAGTTGATGGTAACATGAAAGGGATACCCATAGAACTTTGATTGTGTCAAAGAATATGTTGTTTTGGACAGAACAATCAGTTAAGCTGCAGGATAAGTTCTTTTCAACGCAGTTTCTAGTCCCATATTGATTGATCCTGTGACATCACCTTTGAATTTAAGTTGAATAAAAATAGGCTTTTTATTTGCTGTAGTTTCTTTGAGTTTTTTATCTTCACGTTTTCCATATTTCTCAATAAATTTCAGTAGGTATCCTTTGTTCTTTAAACATTTTTTAACATTCTTAACTTCCTCTTCTAGTGTATCGGCAGTATATATTATTTCTGTTCTGTGAAACAGTGTTTTGACAAGTGCCTTTTTGTAACTGATTGGACAAAAGCTATTGAAATTGAGATAAACACCATTCCATGTGTCTTTCTTATAAACTAAACATTTAACTATGCCATCCTTCCCTCACTTCATTGAGATATGCTGTAAGCAGCTGATGAGAACCTAATGAAATAAAATGAATTCAGATTATTCTGCGCCAATCTTCGTTCTTGCTCTCTTTTAGAAAGACTCAGTACGCACTCGTATTAAATATCTCCAACTGATATTTAACTTTCAGGCAATCAACTTGAGACTATGAGTTAAAATAATTCCTTTTCAAACATTTCAGTATATTATTCTTCAGGATTTTACAAAAGTCATCAAAAGAAGCGGATATCTCTAAACCATTAGATATTTTAATATCCGTTATTTATACTAAATTCATCTTAACAACATTGCATTAAAAGCTATAAACTTGGGAATATAACAATAATGTAATTGATAAACAAAAAACTTACAGCATTTGTAAAACGAACAGGAATTTTACCTTCAAGTGTGCAATTCTCAATCTAAAAAAGCATACCAGAAATTAAGAACAGGCAGAGTAACTTTGTCAAAGATAAATGGGGTTCATTAACTTAATCAATGGTAAAGTGATAAGTTGAAACAATCTAATTGTTATTAGGCGACTTTTAGGGAAAAATCTTTAGTTTGACTTATTATTACTGAATAAGGTTGTACATATTTATTGAATATTTAGATATAGTAAACAATGGTTACGTTACTTTACAAGTCCGAATGATACTAACTTGTTAAACAATATAATACCAAGCACACTTAAATCTCACTAAATAAACTTATCATAATTCATAAATATTATGATGAATAAAAGAATGATTATTGCTATATTTGCCATGATCGAAATGTTATACATAACTTTCCAATGAAAGTCAGACCCAACTGTAGACGTTAATTAGACATGATGTTCATTGAAAACGGCCCAACTAAACTACACTGATTTTAATATTTGTCTACTGAGGTCCTACCATGCCGCGCAAATCAGCTAGATGGATGTAAGACCACAATTATCAAGTTTCATGTTACATGGTGAAATCGTTTTGTAAACTGTATAAGGATACGGCAACATTATGGGGTTTTTAACGAATAAGCAACCGTTTCAGTAACACAAACTTTTTACAGGCAAAGTGGTTTATAAAAGGTCGGGCCTAAAGAATAGTATAACTTAATTTGTCCCACAGATTTTTAGGGCACCGATTAGGTTTGAAAATAATGAAGTTAGTATGATAAGTACTACTCCTAAAAAGGCCGTATGAAACTGGCCTCAAATTGTTGTTGGTCGGGAACGTTGGTGAAATCATCAATACATTGATGGCTATGCCAAAAACAAGATGTTAAATCAGTGATATATATAAGGAAAATATTCAAACAAAATATAACCTACCACTTGTTTAACATTTTTACCATAGAACCCAGCACCAAATACTGATACAACAAATATATTTATCATAAGAGAAACGAATAATGCAATGGTTGATTCAATGAAGTAATACATGTTCGCTTCACGAACCTATAAACAACCTCCCCCACAAGAGAATAAAAACACATTTTTAAACAAAAACATGACACTAGCAACGAGAAATTAGAAATTAACTTTCTATGTATAACTAGAAAAATAATGAACAAAGCGTATAAATATAAACTCGACACACAAGAAAAAACGTTATACGTGAAAAAGGGTCACACAAACGAACATCTACTCCTATGACAGATACACACCAAATGGATGGTGTCTTATTTTGATACTCATTAGCATTATAATCACGAAAATCATAAAATATATCCCTATCTTATGACTGATTTACTGTTGTTGTTGTCTTTGCTCTAGGTATATTTGTTTTAATTAATACCTCGATGGCTAAATGTTGTATTGAAATCAATGAAATTGTGATGATTTCTAAAATTTACAATTCAAGTGAAGTAAACTTTTTAACCTTATCACGTTCAAATGAAAAATAGAATGCTCCTGGAACTATCAACCTAAGTGTTAGCCTCATACTTTAAATGAACAGAAAAAAAGTTAGTACATACTGACTAAATGTACAACTGCATCGGTGAGAATAATTAAGATGACAAACATTGATTTACCTCGATCTCTTCATATACACTAACATTAATTTACATTACCTGAACTTTAAATGTTTCAATACAAAGTACTCCAATACAAGCTTGAAATATAGAATCTGTTCATCCTCGTATGTTGGAACATCGAAATCAAAAGGAAAAATCTAATGACTATGACCATTTTGGTGTATTTAACTTAAAGTAATTATTTGCACTATAAACAAGTTATAATTAAAAGATACCTATATGTTAATTCCGGTGAACTTAGCAATTCGTACCTTATAATAATTGATAACTTACAATTCCCTATGCTATTACCTGATTTAAAAACAAAGTACTGAATATTTACACGCTTAGTTCTTAACCACCTAATACTATTTTTGCAATTCTGAGATTATCGTCTCACTCACTCGCGCCGTTCATCCACCCCATAAACAAAACTATAGCAGTATTCTAAAACAGCACATAATATTGACCCTATTGGTGAAATAGTATTTTTTCGAACTCTAAACTCTAATATTTGATACCGTTAAAATCAAAGTCTACTTACTAATTCACATTTGCTAAAAATATTAATGTTTAACATTTATTCATACAACCTATGGTATTATCATTTATTGACAATAATATAAATAAATAGGCCATTAAGTACACTATCCAAAAAAATTACGTTGAATGTGATATGAAACAAATTGCTGAAAGGTTACATAATAATGAAATACGAATTTTAAAAAATAATAAATTATACAGATCAAATAGAAATGTTACTTAGACGAATTTCATTCGACTCAAAATTGCACTTTATTATTTGTCGAGGAAACAATCTTCTATATTGAATGATGTATTGGTAACACTTCAAACAACTAAATTACAGGAACCATAGAATCTAATCTAGCAAGTAGAAATATTTATATCCTTCATTTAGAAGCATCACACAACTGACTGATCACTTATCCGCTTTCCTACTGAGTCTTAACATACAAAACTTGGTACAGGAGATTCACTACATTTCATGTGAAACAGGACGAAATTAATGAAGTCCGTGTTTGAAGACTGCACCAAATAATTGATAGTTTCTACTGTGCTTGAAGAAATGTCAGATTTTATCACCAATTGTTCAGTTACGCCTCAAATCCAAGCAATCTGTCTAAGACAATGTTAACCAGAAACAGAGAGGAGCCGAACATTCTCAATTCGGAGACCAGGTTTTACAGGCACAGAGCAGTACTACTGTCACCGTGTTATGCACCCGAACTTTTACAATCGAACTGAAATCATGACTGTATCTAAGTTTACCCGAACCGGCATGAACTATCCTACTTCTCAAGCATACGCAACTTGGCTCTATCTCCTACTCCATCTTACTAACTCCCAGATATTTTAGAGAAATCTTGGATATCAATGTTGAGCGTAGGTAATTAATGAGCAAGTTTGTTTTCTATTGTTGCTCAAGAGAACAAATTCATAACCGAAATTACTGAGAAATGGGAATACAATGCTACCAAAAACCCAAGCATCTCTATTGTAAATCACCAGCGGACAAACCAAAAGAAGAATCAGATGTCAATGCCCACCATCTAATTGACATTGGACACGATTTCTACATTCAGAAATCCTTCAAAACAATCAATGTGCACGTCATGAAGTCATTACTATCAAAATGCCTAAACTGAATTTCTCTATTTAAAAGAACACTAATATCAGTCTTAGATTGCGCTACGGACTTTAGTTTACAGCAGTCAGTCAGTCAGCTACAACATGGGACCAGGCACATATATGCATCGGTCCAAGTTGCCATACCTCATTAACACAATAAGAGGGACACCGAATTCATAAAAGTAGTCAATTCAGAGGTGGTAATATATAAAAGAAATATTGCAATAAGGATATAGTATAGGAAGAAGGAAGTAGTTCATAGAAAGAAAGATATGAAGCGATTTTAATCTCTTAGTTTAAGGGAAGACAGAGAGTGTATACACCGACGCCATTGTGATCGATTCTGAGCCATGTCACCAAGAGTCTCCAATGATTGGTGACAGCAGCACTTAATTGCGTAACATCTTACTTCACCCCTTCAATTATCAATTCTTTTTTATCGTTACTACATCTTATCTGAGTTATACTCTCCTAGTCAACTTAACGTTTCAAGTCATTAGTACATAACTTTTCAAGTCATTAGTACATAACTTTTGTCACTAACTTATCATTTCTAAAACCCTGACTTCATACGTTTCAAAATTTCCTTCCAGACTATTAACACCAGTTAACATATACATAATTAATTATATAAACAGTTCTTATAATTTTGATACATTTATTGCATAAATTTATTCTCCTTCATTAATGACGAGTTTTCTGTTAAGAAGATATATAGTAAATATTTTTTTTTAAAGAATTAATACTGTTATTTCTAGATTATAAGCAGCTGAATAAAATCCATGAAATAATTGAATTCAGATTATTCCGATAAGATTGCTGTTCTTAAAAGCAACTGATATAAAAATACTATCGGTTATCATAGAAATTAATTTGAAAATGCCTTGTTGAAAAGTACACATATAGATTAAGTAAAGATAATCATTCGACAAACCACACAGTATTAACAATATATGTTTAATGAAACATAAACCATAGAGAAAATTAAGAACATACCAAAAATGGATTACTTCGATCTATATCACGTGATTTAACAAGAGCAGAATGTAAGTAAAAATTATGAGGCATTACAACAGCACCGAGGATACCAACAGCTTGTTCCAATTCAGGCCAACCACAACCAGGACAAGAAGGCACAAATAATCCGCGTAAAAGAGATACTTGATCGGGTTTTACAACAATATACTAAATGGAAAAAAATTAAATATGGAAATTATGTAGTTATTTTAATGACATGATTCTGTGAGTAAATAATTAAGACAAAAGCAGCCATTACGGGTAAGAAAACCTCTTAGGTCAATTAATCACAATTAACGTAGTTTGGTACATACATGTATCAGGCAAAGTTTCCACAAGGCATCAGCAATTATCAAGATGAATACCAAAGTAGTAGAAGTATCAGTGACAATAAAGAACATCATAATACTGAATACACAAATGGATAGAATAGTAAGAGATAATGTTTTCCTCTGTTCACCTATACATCAGTAATTCTCACTACAGATAACTGAATCCTATCCTTTCTAATCAGATTGTTTCGATTCGTCTATAAATGTACGATATAGGTTGTCGGATTTTCATTATAAGACCTGAAACCTTTGTGAAAGATTTTATTTCCATTGAAGTTAATTAATTTTCGTAAGAATTTTAGAAATCTTTGCTTTGTAACAAAATAATGATTTATTTGTGACATCCCAACGAATAGAAATTAGAATTTTTAATATTTCGTGAAATCATGTAAACCATTTCTTCAGAACAAAAATAAATCTTATCTTCATATCTATTGTCTTTTATGTATAGATGAGTGTTCGTCTAAACATTGACGAAAGTTCAAATAGAAAAACCTTAGTAGAGGATAGTATTTTTCTTTTTTTGGAGATTTCATACATCGTGATCCCTTGATTAATTTAAATAAAGCGATAAGAACAAGATATGTATAATAACATGAATTCATTATATTTCAATTCCAAATGGTCTAAATTTACACTAGTAACGCTACCATATATCAATAAAGTTTAGTTAGAAACAAGAAGAAGAAACAACATATTTAACATAATAATATATGTTAAAGATGAAATCTCAAAAAGATGAAAGTGAAATTATCAATGATACTAAATACATAAATGAATAAAAGGAATTGTTTACATTCCTAGTAGATCAGTACAATAAATGAATCCCCAGGGTTTCAAATTTGTTTCAAATGGACTTAGTGTATAATTTTAAATTAGGAAATAATAGTTATACAAAAACTTTGACTATTATATCAAATTACCAAGTGAAAATTTTGATTATGAAATAGTTTAAACCATTTATCATTATATACTTAGAAGTAAATGGTTGTATAAAATGAAAATATCCTATTTTTATTAAGATATATTCATCAAAGTGTTTTGTTTTTATTTACATTGACTGTTTATATGTTTCTGTTAACTATACTGTATTGTTCTTTTTTGTTTTCCAATTTGTTTACATTTATTCCTTTCAACTAAATAGGACAAAGTAGAAATTGTATTACGCTATTGATCTTTCGGTGGGTTTGTTTTAAAGAAGTTCTAATCTGATATGCCCACTAACTTTATTATTATCATTATTATAAGAAATTTCGCTACAAAAATTTATTTTTGGGGTATAAATCAAGTTTCGTTTTTCCTGTATTCGAAAAACAAAATTTAATTCGGAATTTTACTTGACAAATATCTTTGGGAATTTTTTTTTAATATCATAAGAACAAATGATAATTAAAAATATTTAGATATAATATTAACTAACCTCATAACCAAATGTCACAGCCATAATAGTTATTAAAAGTCCAAAAAAGAACTCTAATTTACGTAAACCATATTTATCAAGAAATAGGAAAGTGAAAGTATCCAAAATAGTGATAAGTACACCAGCCCATAAAGGTATATAACCAAAACTTAATAAATTTATAGCTATAGCAGTACCAATCACCTCCTAGAATCAAACAAAACAAAACAAAAAAGGAAGAAAATGGTCACAAGAAACTGCTTTGATAACAACAACGATTGAGATTAAAACATTTAAACATATTAATTTTTATATCAACTTTATGTTGAAAATTCGAAAACACAATCGTACCATTTAATTCATAGGGTTCAACAAATACATTAACACGATATATATATATTGTAAATTAAGCTAAGAAATTGTATAGTCAAATTTTTACCGTTAGTCTTTAAAACAAAACTGAATATTCAGACGTGGAAAGAGTAAACTAGGACTTTTGTGATTGATTTTGAATCATTTTATTCAGAATATCAATAGAGAGTCTATCGTTTTATGGATATAGCCAAGAGAATTACATTCCTATATCTTCTGAATGTTCACATCAACAATTAAGTCTTGTGAACAGCTTTCATTCAAGCAACTATATTGAATACTACCCCCCCATCATCAGTAGTTTAGCATTTTGCCCAAATGTGTTTTTCATTACTGTGTGGACGGTCGACGGGTCAACTTGAGGAAGCTCTAAGAAGCTCAGAAAGAGCTGAAGACATTCCATCTAATCATTTTTTGGAAGAACATTGCAGAATATCTACGTGTAGCTTCCCTATTGGGAAAACGCTAAAAACCCTTTTATGCAGATTGGATGACTATAATGATGACATCGCTTTTACAAAAAAACTATAAATACACGAGAGTTTTGTACCACATTTGACAGTCACAAACTCGAAAACATATTCTTTATAACAGGGTTTAGGTATGAGCATGCAGTTGAAACTCAAATACCTAACCCGCTAAACAATCACTCTTTTGTCTCACTGAGCAGTATAAAAACCTAAACTTGTGTATTTTTGAGTGTCAATATGAACAATTTTTTATAGAGATCTACAATCAAACACTTTTGAGTTTAGGTACTCGTTCAAACAAATGACTAACCACTGTAGGTAGTGGACTGTTGCACAATAAGTGGAAAAATGATAATGACATGCATGTTATACTGCAGAGAATTCTAATAAAATTCGTAACAAAATAAACAAAACTTACTTGCATATCTGACCCAATAATTGCAACCTCAACCATAATCCATAGTATAATACGTGCCGGTGTAGGATATTCATCATAGCATACTTCTGCTAAATGTCTACCTGACACTACACCCAAACGAGCAGCCAAACGTTGTAGAAATAATCCCATCAATGTAGCTAGGAGTAAAAGCCATAGAAGCTGAATGTCAGTTAGAAAAGAAAAACATGGTACTTAAAATGAACCTGCCAAATTTCTCACAATAAATATTGTTAACAAATAAGCTATGTTACGGTAAAACTTGAATTAACAAATTCAGACGTTTAGACTGGTAATTTGAAATTTATATATTTGAATCCTGTCAATATTCAGATTTTTTTTCAACCACAAACATCATCCTTAGAAATAAAAAGGTAGTTCGCTAACCATCTAACATATATAATAATTATATCAGAGACTGCAGAAAAACGATGAGCTACCTGCAGTCTCGACTAAAATAACAAAAAATTATATAAAACAATAAGAAAGATTAGATTTTATAATGCATGACTCTCGTGAAACATAAAATATTCTTGAACATATTAAAGAAGCAGTATGTAAACAATCGCGACTAAACAGAGACAAACACTGACAAGTGTTAATAAAGGGTCTAGATTCCGATAACAGTAACTGGAATAGAAACACGTCGTGCACATCATAGACAAAGATTAACGACCAATTACAAAGTACCAGCAAGCCTTTGGTTCATTGTCAACTGAATCAGGGTAGACGTAGTAAAAATAAACCCTATGATCTAAGTACAGATTAAAGATAATCACATATTTAAAATAGTGAAAATTCCCGTTTTGACATTTGGCAAATAAAGAAGGAACGAATTGAGCGAAGTAATTTCCTTTCATGAAAAAATGTTTAAAAGTTGAGGAGCCACAGTTTCACCAAAAATAAGTCTAAATTTCAATATTTTATTGATTTTCCAAAAAGAACGGAACTTATTCGACATAAAGATGTAGCTTAAAGATGTTAGGATACTCAAGCGTCAATCAGTTTGTCAAAAAATGAGATCATATCACATACATTGAAAACTGAGAAACAGGACAGTATTATGATTCTTTACAAACAGACGAGCTACAGATCCCGTATACGTTCATTCAGTTGCTCAATTATTCCACTACCCACTGAATGCAGTAAGTGTCGATAACTTAAACTACAAGTTCAGGTACCTTGGGAGTGTCAATAACCCCAATCTCTCTCAAACAACAGGAAAATAACTATCTACCACAACATATTCTCTAAGGATTTACAATAGGATTTGATTTCATAATGACAAATCATATTTAATTCTTTTTAAATAGCCTAGTTCAATAATAAGATCAATCAGAACAAATTTTATAAACATGGTAATAACCTACTCTATAATTAGCGATTGCACCACTTTGCAAATCTGACTCTATATTTCCAGGATCCAGATAGGCAATACTCATTAAGAATCCAGGACCTGTGAACGTCCATAATCGTTTAAAACTGAACACGTTTCTCTCCTTTAACAGAAAAGGCGGACACTATCATAATAAGAATTGAGACAAATATTAACATATTAAAGTGAAGGAAGAAATAATAGTAATGATGATGATGATTACAATAATGAACACAAAAAATAACAGGAAAAATAATAAATATAATATTCATAGTTTGTTTTCACTAATAATTGATAGGAATTGGAGCAGCAAAGCTTTAGATAATTATTTTTATTTTAATAATAATCATACAACTCACGTAATAAGTTTATGTGTTCAGATTTGAGCTATAGTATTTACATTAGGGGGGTCAGTGAAACTGTGGTGTGTATCAGGAATTCGACGTAGAAGTCACACTGACCGAAGAGGAAAATGAAAAAAGAGAAAGGAAAACGGAAAGCAATCGAAATAAGAACAGGAACGGAAGAACGATGTAGTTTGTGAAAGGGGCAATTCAAGGAAGATGTGCAAATAGTGTATTTAATTTATTGTTTTTATATTTTACAAGAATACTGTGTAATTTTGCTTAATAAAGCTGATTTCCCCTGCCGAAGTCCCTAGTCATTACAATAGTACCTTGCTGACCAAACCAAATTAAGTAAAGCGGGGTAAAAATCTGCAACCTACTGGCTGAAAGTTGAATGCCTCAATTTCTAAAACAACACTTAGTTTAGAGCTAATAATCAATGTCTCTACCATCAACCCAACACCGGTGATTAAACCCGACAATCAGTGAAAAATATTAGTTACTACTTCTGACTCAGTTGACAATACAAAACAATATTTACCACCATATATTCAATAAAAAAAACTGTTTAATATTCATTGGTTGTTGTATAAGGGAGGGAGAGAAGTTTACTAACAATAAACCTAAATTGTGAAAAAAATGAAATGTTCCCCTACAGAACTTGAGCAAACTCATTTGGTTTAAAACGTGAGATGAAATAAAAGACCTAAAACTTTACTTTATACGAATTAACTAAAATTTACTTCAAGTAGAAATATTTAGTAGAACACACTTAAAGATAAAACATGGAACATAAACAAGCATGATTTACCTACCATCGTATAGATTTACCAACAGATTCGGTTATCAGGACATTGACAATATATACAATCTCAGGATGTTATCACGATGGGATGGCTATAGTAGCAATACTACACTTCCACCCCCTCTTGTCATATAAGTCTGAATGAATATCAATGTAATTTTACTGGCACAAAATTACTCTAAAGATTTACTCAATTTTGTTTTCCGGATATACATTTATAGAATAAATCTGACATAAAACACACAAAAATAACCTGATTGGTCACATACCACGTGAACAGTGTGCATGTCAAGCCATCTAATTAAGGCTAAATATGAACAAATTGTTCAACAGATATTTTAATCTCAACTAATCAACAATACAACTAAACCAACCAAAACAAAAATATAACAAAATGCAGAATAAATAGTCTAAATGAACAATAAGAGAAACGGATTTCAACTGTATGTATTACTTTGAATGGTTTGATTTTTGAGTATATTAAAATTTAATGACACGAATTTACTGCTGAGTGTTGTAGGTATATCACCCTCAAACATAGACCTAAATTTTATTCCGTAAAATAAGGTCTCATTAAAATTAACAGTACTGTTAATCTACATAGCTTTGTTAGTTAGTGCAATGAAACTAGTACGTAACACTTTGAAAAAAACCTCATATATTAAAATAACTCTCAAATAAGCGTTAATTACATTTATAAATTGAAGTTTGTCTGAAAAATTATAAGATTTTTGAAAATGATTGGCAGGAGTTAATTATACTACCTTATATAGCTAAGGTAGTTAACAACTGTGTAATTTGAAAACCTCCATGTGTCTTCACTTTCAGCGGGTACTGTTAAAGTTAGACCGGTGGTTTTAGACAAGACATCTAAATCTTCCGGTGAGGTTTTGAAATAATATCAAAATTAAAAGATCTGATAGCAAGAAACATAACAGAAATATGAAAATTTTAAACCATCTAAAACCTGCACCACGATCTTACGCTGAGTTTACACAGACATTAGGAAAAGTTTATTTGAGTGACATTTATGCAGCATGAAATTATCGAATGAAAACTGAAATGCTACAAATTTCACCATTTTCATCAAAAAGGATATGAAATAAAAGTATATATTGACTTCTTTAATGTATACGTTTAGACATTTAGCTAAATATAAGCCATATCTTTCCTAGATCGAAAACCATGAACAGGTTAAATAAACCTAATTAAATATACACGAAGCCTTAACCTGATCGCTCGGAGAACTCTACTTCAACTACTGGATAACAAAACTACCATAGACATGTAGGATTTTACGAACCCATCCAAACCATAACCTCATTTACAAATAGCAGATGGATTTTAAAAAAGTACTATATTTGCAAAACAATATATAAAAGTCACCAAATTCTTTAATCAAAAGCAATAAGAACTATGCAGTTAATAGGTTAGATTTATTTAATTACAATTCATACCAGTATGACAACAGTCAAGATGCAAGTCGACCCCAGGAAAGTACACATTACAGGCTTAGCCGCAGGTTTCAACCGAAGTGTTGCTTTCATGGCAGAACACCGACCCAAGCCAGGTTGGAAAATAGACTAAAACTGCGTCACTAGCTTTCTCGTATATGCTTCAGGGTCATGTGGTTGTGATATCAGGTGGCATATGATATTCAATGGGACATCAGCTAATTTTAGTTGGTCGAACCAATCTAAACCAAGTAAATTTAGACCAATTGGAGTTATAAAACATACCCTAGTAAACGATGAATCTCGGAAAGTAACTTTACATTCTAATTGTCCTAATAAGCGAAGGTAATTACAATATGCAGTACGAGGCAAGTACGAGCAAAAGTCTCCAGCAGAAATCCTGATGGGAAGAAAACTGAGAACGATTCACAGCCTAATGCATTCGAGTAATGCATCAACACCAGTACAGACAAAGTCTGTAAAGCAAGCCACGTACGAAGTGGGATGTCCTGTGTTTGCCCGTGACTACAGAGCAACCCGTGGTCCATGGATAGAAGCACGAGTGGTCAGAAGAGTAGGCCGTGTCATGTACGAAGTAGAGTTAGGAGGCGAAAGATGGTCACGCCATCAGAATCAGATACGCAAACAGCTAGCCCCAGACCGCCCATCAACAGGAGTAACTCTCCCCCTTGACATCCTGCCTGATACCTTCAAATTGCCGGTAGCCCCATCACGAGAAAAAGCTCAAAAACAAGCCAATCTCCGTTCCAGAAGGTGGCCTCTCCAACACTGGTGAACAACAATCAAGATGCAGGTCGACCCCAGGAAAGAAGGTTATTAAAAAGGGGAGATGTGTTGATCAAGAAGTCTTGATGAGGCGTAGAGAAGCACCCAGAAAATGCGAGTTCACTAAGCACATAAATCAAGCTTATTTATACAATGATAGAAACGCACTTGGATTGCCCATTTCGGTCCAAACTTTACGTGAAAGGATGGTAACATCTGATGCCGTATCAATCTACAATCTAAACAAATGTCCATTAATATTAAGAGTAATGAATTTCCTCTCACCCCGGGGATGGGATTTGACAAGAAGATACTAGGCTCAACGAAGTGGTACAGGATTTAGGAACAGTCTTTTTGGTACTTCTGGATCGGTTTGGCTTCCTCTTAAGACAAAACCCATCTTTATGACCGAAGACCTTAAACTTCCTGCATCGATGTTGCCTAAATGGGTAGTTTCGTACATAGTGCCATACACCACAGTGCCAGCAAGGAGCAGGGGGATTCGTTTTAGTCTGTCGGACTGAGCTGTGGTGGGACGGACTGGGTGTAGCAGAGGCACATTTATTCTGGTTAAGTGTCTGTTGCACTACTCGTACTTCAGATCGACTAGACCCACCACTCTGAACCATAGTCGTGTCTCGTTGCAGATTAATGAGGCGTTGGTATTCATTAGCCATGTCACTAAGGGTAAGTTTAGGATCTTGATCCGATCGATACAGTAACCGTGTTCTTATGTCACTGAAGTTTTGGGACTGGAGGCTGCAAATGAGGATGGGGGCTTTGAACTGGTCTTCAGACAAAGACTTCAACCGGAAGCGTTCGCATTCACGGTTGAGGATACCCACATGTGTAAGAAAATCATCGTCTTCGTTCATAATTAGTTTCAAACGTCGATAACGAGTATTAAACAATAATGAGTTGTCGCCGAAATGTTGGCTTAATGTCTGGACTGTGTCTGAGAATGAGCGATCACGTGGGTTCAAGGGTAGGATCAAATTACAGTACCTGTCCAGCTCACTTGCATCCAACTTTCGAAGTAGCAGTTTGTTCATAACTAATTTATCCAATGAGATACAAAAACTAGGGGTGATCCCTGATTGCTAATAAGTAATATAGTCATGAAATAAGAAAACTAGCATGCACTATTGAGAGGTTCGTAAGTAGTACAAAACAGCTCTTTAATATTTCTTGGTATTAGAGTAGTTTCCAGCTAATATTAGTTTGAAATAACTGCGAATCCAATATTAAACTTTATTTCTCTCCAGAATAATGTAAAAATGAAATTTCATTATCTATTAGTTGGAAATGTTACTCTGACAATCCAATTCAGAATCAAAAGAGAGAACTAATGGTGGTGGTCTGATGTTTAGATTACTTAGCTAATTTTCACATATTCACACATATTATTATCCGAATACATTATTTTCCATTGTTCTTCTTATGACTCCTACTATAGTTATTCCCAATTTTTAGACGGTCATTTTACTGATTCCTTTTTACCGAGTTATCGTTTAAGACAACGAGCATAACAGTTCACAACTCAAGCAAGAAATAATCTTTATTAGTTTAAATAGCAATACAAACTTTTCACACTAAAAGTACTAACAGATTCGATCAATGTTTGAAAATATGGGGACTATAGTAGCAATAATACAACCGATGGAGCAACAGATAAAATTAATTAGGAAAATTTCATGCAATTAGTTCCCTTTATGAATTTAAATAAAGCAAGAACAAATATTGATGCAGAATAGTATTCCTTTGTCATTTCAGTTATTTACATTCATTTATGTCAATTGTTTCACACTATTTCTTATCTCAATGTAAAATTCTAATACATATTTGGTTGTAAGCAGCTGACGAGAAACCTCGAAATATTATGAATTCATACTATTCTGCATCAATATTTGTTCTTGCTTTATTTAATTAGGAAAAGCTTTGTTGGTCTATCTACTCTATTGTTTGAAAAACAAACTCTGAAGCACAGTCGCTACGGAAGCAGTGGTCTAGTAATTAAAACATGGTTTCCGACCATTAGATCTCAGGTCCGAACTCTACTCCATTACCATCTGAGTGACAGAGGATTACTAGCCTTTCAACAAAATGTATGAATCAAAGCCAAGTGCATGAATTTGAACCTGGTAGATGAGTCACATAATTTATTTGCAATCGATAATGGCTAAGAGGAAAAATTATATTTAGTAACGCCTTGAATGGTTCACGCCGTCTTTTAGATAGTTGAGGTACTAAATTAACAAAAAAATTATTGATATTAAAGTAGGGCCACCAACAGACTGACCTTGATTCCTTCAGTAAGTGTTATAATATAGTGGTGGTGCTGTGAACGACCATCAATTGAGATAGTTATGAAATGCGTTACTTAAAGCAATGAATAACCCGAAGTGAAACAGTAGCCAGCATAGGATTACGTTGAAAACAAAAACGTCTGATATCTGCTGGGCCACGAAATAAAATCTGTCCATGAAATTACTGCCTATTGTTCTGAACTGTGCAGAAAGATACAGAGTTCTTGGTTAAGCTGTGAGATAATCGTTATCTATGGTTGAAGACCTTAAGTGACATGCCCGAATGTAGGTAGTAATGGAATAAATGTATTCACTCTTTGAAGCCCACTCTAAATTTTGAGTTTCAATATTCTCCTATATTTTCCACTTCAACTACTTTTGATATTATTTTGACTGTGCAGCTTTTTATGCTGATTCTCTTTCATTATGGTGACGAAGTGTGATAACATGAACCGACATGTATTTCTACCCAGCTTTAAGTTATTTATGAATGAATCATAGAACATAAATGACCTAACTTACCCCGGGGTCTATATTGACACCAATTTTTTGAAAATCATCTGAAGGTGAAGAATTTCGTGGTCTGCGACTTTGATGCGCTGAAATAAGTTGTACTATCCTTGATTGATCATAAAGTAGTGGAGTTCTGCCTTCGTTTTCCTCTCCATCTGTTGAACAAATAATAATTAACTAAATAATAAACTTACCTAAACAGTGATGCATAATTAATAGCGTTACACACACTAATGACCACGACAATGACTATGTGAACGGGTACGCTAAAATCAAAATATTCATATTCCCATGACCGAAACAAGGCAACATACTAAACAACGAAAATTCCGGGATAATTATAGGAATAATAACGGAATGAAGTGCATGCATATAGCATACAACTCTCCTTGAGCCTAGCACACTGTCAGTTATTCATTTACAACATAAAACCAGGACATATGTGCATCGGTCCAAGTTGCCATAACTCATTAGTACAAAAAGATGAACACTGAATTCATAGAAGCAGTTAATCAAGTGGTAGCAATATATAATAAAAAGATTGCATATCAGGATATGATCCCAAGCAACACAAAAAGGGGAAATAAAGGCGAAGAAAGGGGAAATAAAACGGACGAAAGCGTAACTAAAGAGGAAATGTCGCTTTTTCGCCTTTACGTCGGTTATTTAGGGGAAATGTCGCTTTTTTCCCCTTACGTCGTGTATTTGGGGAAAATTTGTCGACAATTCTACGTTACGTACAGTGTTTGAATGAACCGCATCCAGAACTGAAGTTTTCATAAACTTCGACAAATTAAGGCACCGCTTAATAAAAAAACAAAAGTATTGTCATAGAAACAATGTACAAATTACGGAACCAGGCATTCGGTTGATACGCATATAGAGTGACTTCGTTTGTTCTTTAGCTAAAGTGTTCCGACATGCTTTGGAGCCATCACAAAAAACTTACGTGATGCAGGTGAGTGACGTGCTCTCAGATTTTCATGTTCATTGTAACTGATTACCTTGTAAGGCCAATACTATGAGTTATATTGAAGTCAGTGAGAATGTTCGTAGACGTAGGGCCACTGTGAACTTGTCACGTTCCCTTGGCTGTCATAGATCCACTTATAAAATGAAAGCTCCTTCCATGAAAAAATATGACTTTCTTTCGTTCAGTGAGTTTGCTAATGAAATCACCGTAAAAGGTAACTCAGTTCAACAATGTTGTTTATTAAATTGATAGGAGTAAAGAGAGTGTAGCGGTAAATAAATCCCCAAAATAAATAGCACTAAGTTTTCGACATTGGATGCTGACCATATGTTTTAGTAGACTCATCTAGCTGAAGGCGCTCGGTCATGCATCCGCACCAGATCACGTGTGGTAACGCCATGCTCAACATCAACCGCAATCGCTAGCCAGATTAGATCAGAGAATTCCGATATATTGGTCATCGCCAAATATACTCTTCCGATCTCCTCGACTCTGTCTTTTGATTTCTCTGGGCGGGAACGAAATATATTAGGTGTTACTGGTAGAAGCATTGTCAAACACTGAATACCTGTGACATCATCATTGGTGAGACCGATGTGATCTGGTACAACTGTGAGTCTGTTCCTTCTTGGGATTTTTATATATCATTGCCTTATTTTTTTATTTTTTTTTAAACATTGCGATTTTTTTCGTGATTTTTCTTGGATATATATATATTTTCCCCTCGTTCATTATCGTACTTCATGCTTCATCATTACTGAACAGACACCTAAAGTACTCAAGCTTAAGACTTTGTCCCCGCCTTCGTTTCAAATGATGCCTTTCTGGCCCGACAACATCGAAGCCTGGTTTTGCTACGCAGAAGCTGACTTCTCCGAGCACGGCGTGATCGGCACACGTGCACAAGTCCTCGCAGTAGTCAAGGCACTACCGCGCGAATTCAACAGGTACGTAACACCTAGTATGTTTACTAGTGATGTTTCTGAACCTTACGAAACCTTGAAACGTTCGATTCTCAAAAGAGGAGACCTAACCGATCGACAAAGGTTAGATCAACTCTTCAATAACATCGACCTGCAACATCGTTCTGCGACAGACATGTTGTAACGGATGAGAGAGGTAATAGGCCCAAGAACTTTCGATGAAGGTCTATTCAAACAACTCTTCTTGTCAAAACTTCCCCAACAGGTGCAAGCAGTTCTGGTCTCGTTCCAGAACAACGCCTTAGACGAGCTAGCTGCATCTGCCGACCGCATTTTAGAAATTACAAAACCTTCTACTACCGAGGTATTTTCAGTCAAAGAAAAACCTCAAACGACTCAGAATGATATAAACGACTTATGTCACACACTCACGCGTTATCTTAGTCTTCGTACCGACCGTAAGAGATCGCGCACACCACGTAGAAGCATTTCACGTAAGCGATCTGTCTCGACACCACGAGAGACAGATAACCCCGACTGGTGCTGGTATCATAACCAGTATGGAAAGCTTTCCAGAAATTGCAGAAAACCCTGCAATTTTCCCAGCACGAAACCGACTGATTCGAAAAGCAATTCGGGAAACTTCCAAGCCGGCACGCGTTAACGGCAACCGTAGCCGGCGAACAAAGCCGTCTGTTATTCGTCACAGATGTGACAACGAGAGTTCGCTACCTCGTCGACACTGGCGCAGAAGTTAGCGTTCTCCCAGCGAATCCTAACGACCGACTTCACGAATCGCCCCTAAACTTACAGGCGGCAAACGGAAAACCGATCGCTACGTATGGCAAAAGGTACGTTTACCCATCAACTGGATTTTCGTTGTTGCAGATGTTTCTATGCCAATCATTGGTATGGACCTTCTACAACACCATAATCTGATCATCGACACTCGCAAACGGAGGCTAGTAGACGGAAACACTAATTTGTCCGTTTGCGTAACTTCTTTTACTGGTTGTAGAGTATCCCCAGTCACAGTTAAACATATGATAGACCCACTCTATCAACCACTACTCGATAAGTACCCTGGGATACAACAAACTCAACCGAATCTACCGTGTGTAACCAGCAATGTTACACATCACATCACGACTACAGGACCACCTGTATTCTCTAAAGCACGACGACTAGCTCCTGAAAAGCTAAGGTTAGCGAAAAACGAATTCGATCACATGATGGACTTCGGAATCATACGACCGTCAAGTAGCCCTTATGCATCTCCGTTGCACATGGTCCCTACAAAGGACAGCAACGATTGGCGTCCAACTGGTGACTATCGGCGATTGAACGCGAAAACCGTTCCCGATCGTTACCCGTTGCCTCACATTCACGATTTGACAGCTACCCTGAAAGGTACAACTGTCTTTTCGAAAATCGACTTGGTTAAAGCGTATAACCAAATCCCTATGGCTACTGACGACATTCCGAAAACCGCCATCATTACTCCCTTCGGACTCTATGAATTTTTGCGAATGCCTTTCGGTCTAAGGAATGCTGCTCAAACATTCCAAAGATTCATAGACGACGTTTTTCGAGGTCTCAACTTCGTACACGCGTATGTTGATGACTGTTTAATCGCAAGTCCGGACAGAGAAACACATCTCAAGCATCTGGATCTTGTTTTCGAACGACTACAAAAACATGGCATTACTGTAAACGTTCAGAAATGCCAAATTGGAACCGACTCATTAGACTTTCAGGGACACACTATCGATGCTCAAGGTATCCGACCCCTTAGAACCAAAGTGGCGGCCATTCTGGATTACCCAGAACCGACCACCGTCAAGCAATTACGCACGTTTAACGGTCTCGTAAGTTTCTATAGACGTTTCATACCCAAATGCACATTACTTATGAAACCTCTGACCGACCAACTTCGTGGAAATGCGAAATCCATTAATTTAGACGACACCGCACGAAAAGCATTCTCCACAGTTAAGGAACTGATCGCTAAAGCAACAATGCCCGCACATCAGGACACCCGAGCACCCATTAGCATCGCAGTAGACGCATCCGACTCGGGAATCGGAGGAGTCTTACAACAATGGGTTAACAACTCCTGGCAACCCTTGGCATTTTTCTCTAGAAGGTTGCTAGACACCGAATCGAGGTACAGCACATTCGGTAGGGAACTCCTAGCTATGTATTGTGCTGTACGGCATTTCCAACACTACATCGAAGGCCGTGAATTCACTCTTTTCACGGACCATAAACCGCTCACTTTCTCGTTAAGCTCTCCTTCTGACAAGTACTCTCCCCGTGAGTCTCGACAACTGGACTACATTTCGCAGTTTACTTCAGACATTCAACACATCTCTGGAGCAAACAATGTAGTTGCAGACGCTTTATCTCGCATAACTTCCTTGAACAGTTTCCAAGTAATCGACCTTCTTAAACTCGCCGAGCTTCAAAAAGAAGACACTGATCTTCAGCACGAGTTATCGTCCACAACACTTAAACTACGCATCAAACAGATGGGAACAAGTAAGGAAACCTTACTTTGTGACACATCTACAGGTAGGGATCGCCCAATCGTGCCGAAACATTATCGACGCAATGTCTTCAACACATTGCACAAACTTTCGCATCCAGGTGTTCGTACAACCATCAAGCTTATAGCAGAAAGGTTTTGCTGGCCTGGATTGAATAAAGACGTGAGGGAGTGGGCACGCTCCTGTGTAAGCTGCCAAAAATCTAAGGTTATCAGACACAATAAATGTCCCTTAGGCTCGTTTAAAACTCCCGATGCTCGTTTCGACCATGTTCATCTGGATTTGGTAGGACCTTTACCAGATTCAAATGGAAACTCTTATCTCTTAACCTGCGTAAACCGTTTCACTCGATGGCCAGAAGCAGTACCTATCAAGGACATCACTGCTGAAACAGTGGCCCGCACCTTCGTCGAACGATGGGTAGCAAACTTCGGCTGCCCTTCAACCATCACTACAGACCGCGGACGTCAGTTTGAATCTGATCTTTCCCGTCGTCTGACCACACTTTCAGTTAAACCTGCTTCCACTCGACCTCAATCAACTGATGTTTTCGTTCAACCTGACTTACGATATAGTACACACGTTTTCGTTCGTCGAGACTCGCATCGACGACCCTTCGAATCAGCATACGAAAGACCTTTCAAAGTTCTTCAACGCTAACCGAAGTACTATATAATCGATAAGAACGGAACAAACGATAGCATCAGCATCGATAGCCTCAAACCATCGTATTTAGAAGGAAATCCTATCTACGTCGATTTTCCTTCGTTACAATCGAACGACACGACTCCGACACTTATAACAACTCATCCAACAACCAACACTAGCGATGATACTCTGAATGTATCTGAAAATAAACCTAAAACGACGCGTTCTGGAAGAAGAGTAAGATTTCCAGAACATTTAAACGACTACTCGACATTTAATATTATCTCGATCTTTCTTTTTACGATATATAATTTTTTTTTAAAAAATTTTAATATGCTTATATATTTATATTTTTTTACTTAAAAAAAACAAAACAAAAAAAACATTTTTTAACGCTGTTACGTGTGTTTGAGTATATTTTCCATTTTTTCGCCGACATTGTGTTTTTACGCACATGCGAGTGTATTTCGACATGCACTTACACTTTCTTTTTTCTTTTCCAGGACGGCTGGAAAAGAACATTGCAGTTTACGAGGAATCGAAATTTTTCGTTGTAACTTTTTCTTTTTTTACTAAGTTGTACCTCGGTCCCATATAGTAAGGAAAGACGACCAGACGCTGCTACACTTAGTAAGCTATCAGAATAGTGTTTACCAACGACAAACTCGTTGATTTTAAACTTCTG